AGTGGAGGTGCAAGTGTCAACCTTGAGAAGTTGTCCTAGCTTGTTCCCCACTAATTTTAGGAGTTCAAGATCATAATACTCCGTAGGTTATTTAGGTAGACGTGCCCATATGGCGGAGTATTGGGTGGAAGGGAGGTCATTTGGGGAAGGAGTTAAAAGGGTTGTTAGAAAGGAGGATTTGGAAGGAGTGGGAGGTGGTGCATCAAGTTGCATAGCTAGAGGATCGGGAGGATCAGTTGTATTCATCATGGTGAAGGAGCTGGATGGATTCATGAAAGCTAGTAGAGTATGAAGAAATGGAAGAAGTTGGGAGCACTACTTATGGTCGTTGAGAATAATTCTGATCTACTTCATGGTCTATTAGAAGTAAAAGGCATTCTAGTTAGATAAGCGCGTGCCGTTCAAAATGAGACTTTTCACTAAAGGCTAAATTGCCTAAACCGTCAACTACTGAATTAGCCTCTACATGGTTATGAACAATAGAGACTATCCGGTTCTTAGCCACGAGGCGAGAATGTTGCTGACAATATCTATCATTCCGCTGAGATACAGACCCTCCACATAAAAGTACATGAGCCACAGTATAATTATCAATTTGCAAGATAACAGTAAAGTTTGTGTTTTAGTTGTTATTGGACTTTTTTCTTGTGTAAGCCTTCTACCTCTATTTTAGTTTTATATAAAAAATATAAAAAGTAAATTCTCATGTATCAACGTTTTACTCTTAATTTTGCCATTAGCAAAGTACGTATTTTAGTGTGCCAGGAACTTACGCAGTCATGTTTTTCTATTTTTCGGCAAGAACCACACATCTACCTTTTCTTTTCTATCGGTTGTCATTTGCTAAGTAACGAATTAGTTAATTATCATTTGCTTCTTGAGAGGACTATTTTGACTTTTGATGGTTTGCTTGCAATAGAAAAGGAAAAGGAAGAGAGTAAAATAAGATTATCAATTGACCAGTAGGGTGTAAGAAAGTATAATACTTTTCTCTTTACGCATTTTTCACTTTTTATTGGTTCCTTTCTCTTGTGCTGTTGAGAAGTAGAAATGAAGCAATCTCTCACATTTTTTCCCTTTGCTCCCACGTCTTTTGATGTATTAGGAGCAATAGATAGAGATCAAAATAATGCAGGAATACTGCTGGTTCAATACGGTATATAACAATAAATAAAACTTAATACGAAAAGAAGTAAATAGAACTTTTTTCAACACTACTTTGTTTGAACAAGAGGAAAATGCGAGAAGGTACTTGTTCCATGTTGCTTCTCATTGAGCGACTCTACCTTACAATTTACACTGATGTTTCCGCATTGTACAAATCTGTTTTACACTCAAACCATCAGAAACATAAGATCTTTGGTATAATGATAATATGTTTTGTAAACTTCAATGTTGATTAGCATGCCCCTACGCAAGGATGACAAGCACAATCGAGAAATGGTCCAAATTCTTTTTAAAAAAAATGTCGAACTTGTTACGAAAATCGGAAAAAAATTACATATTCCAAAGTAAGAAAAAGTCTCAAATGCACATTTGACAGATAAGTTTCAATACAGTTTGACTCCATCTGTACTTGATCATATGAGAGATCATTTAATGTGGAAGTTTATATCATTTGAACCTGAGTATCTTGTGCAACTAGGAAAAGGTATAAATACAAGCTAGTGAGCAATATGTTATTAGGACAATACAACCCAAATAGTAAAAGAATCGAAGCATTCAAGATGCTTTATACTCTATAGTCTATAGTTTCTAAACAGCTGCATATTTGGTACTTGGGAATTCCCATTTCACGAAGTCATCATTTGAATAGCCAAAAAACAAAAGATTGTAAATTTTCAAACTCGCGCGATAAGGTGGTTGAAGGAGTTAGGCAACTACAGCGTAAAGATTTATAGGCAATTAGTCAATAGTAAGCAGAAAGAAAATGTGGAAGAGCATTAGTTCACACAATATTTCTAGGCAATGAGCATACACGCAAGCACTCTTAGTTGTTCGTTCAAATAGAACTCAGCTGAAAATGTACAGTTTTCTATCCAGAGAGATGCCTTAAGTTGCTGAGGAAACTAAAGTAGAATTTTCCTTCAACTCTGCTTTTAACTAATCAAACACGTCATTTACTACTACGATGATCCAAGAAAGATTGCTAGACGTCAACCTGCAAATTCTCTTTTCTTGGCTGCCTATTTTACAGTAAATGTTTTCAGCTGAAGCATACACAAACAAATGAAACAATGGTTGATGACATACATGCACCTAAAAGCAGTAGCCTACTCTCTCCTCAGCTAAGTTTACGACATGCTAAAGAAAAGCATGATAACAGTAAGAAGACAGCTCAATCCTGAGCTTCAAGATGTCCCAATATACTTGTATTATAATTTTTCCTAAGCTAGACTAATATAAATCCAAGCCTGTAACAAATTTTGACACCACGAAATAATTAAAAAAAAAAGGCAAGAATAAAAGGGAGCCCAAAAAGAAGGCGGCAAAATAAGAAGAAAAGAAAGGGAGGCGTAATCAGACAGAAGGAAGGGCCACCATAATTTTTATCATCATCAGCAAGGCAATAAATACTGGATAAAGTGCACCAAGATATACATGTACAAACAACAAAACTTCACAACTATGACCAAAAAATGAAACCCATAAAAATGGAACAACCAAACTTAGAATGATAACAGAGGCAGCACACATGCGAAATATAAACTTTAAAAGATTATAATACAGCTGTCTGAATCTAGGTAAATGAGTTTAAATAAGAAAAGGCACATCACACGCAACAGTCATAAAAGTAAAAGAGAATAAAAGACGGAAGACAGCCTCAATAGGTCAGCATGAGAATCTCTAACTTGTCATCATATCCACATTCAGTCAAGCAGTCGGTTAGAATGACCAGCATAATAAGGCTTAAGTTGCTCCTCATTACCTTTTCACTCTGTTTGGTAGCAGCAGCACTGAAGCTTCCAGCAGAATAAAAGAATTGATATCTACAGTTCCCCATCTAATTAGTATAGGCACCTAATCAGACACCCCTTGAACATCTCTAATAATAACTTGACCGGATTTCTCATTTACCCCAGCACCCAAAATCCCTCCATATTCATTAGTAGCCACGCCCATTACTCCGATGCCACCATTCATGTAGGTGGGATAGATTGCCCCGGTATTGCCATAAGGCAATGGACTACTTCCCCTCAGACCAGTCATCGTGGGGTTATTCCAAGGACCTCTAGGCGGCACCAAAGAAGCNATTTACCGCAGCACCCAAAATCCCTCCATATCCATTAGTAGCCACACCCATCACTCCGATGCCACCATTTATGTAGGTGGGATAGATTGCTCCGGTACTGCCATAAGGCAATGGACTATTTCCCCTCAGACCGGTCATCGTGGGGTTATTCCAAGGACCCCTAGGCGGCACCAAAGAAGTGATACCATAACCAATTCCAGGGTATGCTCCAGCAGGGTAATTACCTCCAAAAGTTCCAACTCCATAAGGATATCCCGCAACATTCCCATAACCTGAGACAGGCCCACAACAATATACATATCTAGGACTGTAAGAAGGATACATCCCTTGTTGGTAAGCGTTATAGTTAGAACCACTTCCGTTACCTACTCTAGCATGATAACCATTACTACTATTGCTATTTTCATCTTTTGGTATAGCCCTTTTCACCTCCACAAGCTTGCCACTTAACTCATGGAAATTCTTCTGCATAACCTCCTCAACTGCATCCTCTGAATCAAAGGTAATAAAACCAAATCCCCTTGGTCGATGGGTAACATTGTCATGCATCACAACAACATCTGTAATCCTACCAAATCTTTCAAAGTAACTCTTGAAGTCTTCCTTAGTTAAGTTAGCTGATAAACCCCCTACAAAGATCTTCTTGGTCCTAAACTGATCATTGCTTCTACCATTAGTTCTACTATTCCAATTCAACCCCCTACTATTTTGTTGTTGTTGTTGTTGACTCTGTTGTTGGTGTTGTTCACTTCTGGGTATGGCTTTTTTCACCTCTACCTATAAATGACATAATATACCACAGATCAATAAGCAAAAAAAAGACTTCACCTTTTTGACGAGTAAGCAGGATATCACAAAGGCATCAAGAAGATGCAAAAAGATTACAAAACAAAGTTTCTCAGCTCATTTACAATTGAAGTGTTCAAAACTAGAGAGCGGAAAAAGTCCAAAAATACATCAGAGTTATTTACATGAGAGAGGTTAGCCCAACTAAAAAGGTTAACCAAACATCTAGCCTTAGGTAGCCAATTGAAGTTGATACACCATAAAAAAGACTTCACCTTTTGTATAACAGAACATACATATATGTATCAGCAACAAAGATAGCCACAAAACAGAGCAACAACTTCCATCTTTACATTTTTATCTCAACATGACAAGTATAGCAGCCCAACCCAGTAGTGACATTGTCCGCTTTGGGCTCCAGGTCCGCATGGCTTTACTACGCGTTACTACGTTCTAAAAATGAAAAAAAAAAATGACTTTTTTCTCAAATATTAACGGAAAGAATTTATTTTAGAAAATCCAATTGAACAAGCAAAGAAAAGGGGGTCCTAAAAAACAAGAATTAAACAAGTAAAAACATAAACTTGACCGAGAAACAAAATTAACAACGAGGGGTTAGAAGACAAACCATTCTTCCAAGAATTTCATGGGTATCTTGGAGTGCTTTATCAACTGCAGATGAATCAGAAAAGGAAACAAAAGCAAAGCCTCTAGGTCTACCAGTTTCACGGTCTTTAGCAATAACAGAGCTAACCACAGTTCCATACTTAGAAAAATGCTCCTTAAGCATCTGCTCAGTGGTTTCCCTTGGAATCCCACCACAAAATAGCTTGTTTTTGTCCAAATCCTCCATACCCAAGATGCAATGTAGTGTAAAAAAAAACCTAAAAATCCTTCCTTTGTAATTTGTACAGCAAAAACAAGAAACCCTAAGGGACCCTACTGGTTAGAGGGGTTTTGGGGGAAAAGTTAGATGTTGGAATTGTAGAAGGGATTAATAGGGGATTTTGTATGTTGAAGTCAACCTAGATTTGTTATTGTGAAAGGGATTTAAGTACACACTTGGTTATGATTTGTTTGCAAGTGTTTTAGGAGTTGTGAAAAAGCAGTCGAATAGGTCACACGCTCATACCAAAACTCTTTATTCTCGCATTTCACTCCCCTACTAGGGGATCGTGAGCCACCTGTTTTCTTTGTCTAAATAACTGTCTTAGAAAATAAAAATAAAAAACAGAAAAGATAGGAAAATTTGAAGTATTTACATGGTTAATAAGAAGAAGAAAAAAACAACTCAGCATCAGTATTATGATTCAAGTTTGGCTTTTATTCTTTAAGCATATTTCAATTAAAATTGAAATTTATTGATATTTCAACAGCTTTTTGCAAAGGGAAAGTGTACTGCTTTCATATATTGAATAGAACAGTGTTTGGCTAAGCTTATAAGCCGGTCAAACTAGTTTATAAGCACTTTTTGGTTTATTTATGCGTTTGGTAAAGTTAAAAGTGCTTATAAACTAAGTGCTTATAAGTCAAAAGCCATAAGCTGGTCACTCCAAGCTTATGAATTTTTAGCTTATAAGCACTTTAAATTTGACTCAAATTTTTACTATTTCATCCTTAAAATATTCCTTTTTAGAACAAAACCCCTACATCGATACTCACCGTCTCAAGTATTCAACCTATACCCCTCCCCTCCACATCTTCAAATATGCAATTCTCATTGACTATTTTGTTGGGGATAAAGTAGATATGCCCTAGATCCATTCTCATATTTGATGATTTGAACATATCTTTGTGAACGTTATTTGATATAAAAATATATGGCATTTGATATTCTTTTATCATAGTTATTATTAATTGCTTAATTAATTTAATAAGGTCCTTGATTAAATTTTGAGACTTGTCATCGTGATGGAGATCATGATAATGAGAGTAAAGTCTCTTACAACTTAATCTAAATTTTGTTCTTGATCGTAGGATTATTAATTTGGACATTAGTAATCCGGTTAGATCAATATTTATATGATCATCTTTATGGGATAAAGATTAGTTGATCTCATTAACTAAATCACATAGATAGATGATGTATATAGAGATATGATCGTTGAACAGACTCATTGGATAATTCCTAATGGTTAGAATTACCATAAACCGTCAATAAGATATCTCTTGAAAAATGTGATATAAAATTTCCTTTGACCTGAGATCGTTATAGTAATTGAAAAGTTATTTATTGTGTTTTGATACCAGACACCTATGGCCCTAGAGCGATAGTTGAAAGGATATTGGGTACGATTAAATACTTGTAGAATTAGTGATTGATCAAGATGAAATCTGTCAACTCTTGGTAATGAGTTTAAGCTCCATGATGTCATGAAATATAAACAACCAAACTAAGACCTTGGCCAGGGCAAATGAATGAAAGAAGAAAAGAGTTTCTCAGGTCATTCAATGGTCGATTATATTTGACATGAACACATAGTTAGTCGCCTATTAGGATTTGACAGTTAAACCATATCCTAGGGTGACCTAGAGCTATAAGGACAGAAGGAATTACTACATTATTCTTTTACAAGTTCTTGAGAGTAAACTATATACTTCATGCTATCCGGTTGTTAAGGAGTATTGCTAGACGCCACCTTTGATTAGTATATTGATATGATCAATTTATTACCGGCTTAGTATTGAACCTATGGGGTAGCACACTAACGAGTGTTCTGATTTTGCTAAAGGATTAATTACTTTATTATTTGATAATTAAATTAAAGAATTTAATTAGTCAAATAAATTTATTTATTAGTTCAAATAAAATATTATTATATTCTTTGCTAGCACAGAGGATATAACTATTATTGTGAACAAATTAAACTTTTCTATTTGGAATAGAAAATTAAAATATATCTTTTGACTGAAATATATATGTGATATATATAATATAATTAATATTGCACAAAAGTTATATATATAATATTAATTATGCTTGTAATCTAATTTTGAATTGGATTAAGTAGTGTAAGAGTCTAGAAGGACTTGTCGGCAAACATGATACCCATTTGTCATGGGATTCCAATTTCAATTGAAAATTGCGTTTGGCATTAGACTTGCACAAAGTCNAAATACTCTTGACAAGAAAATTTAGTTTCTTGGTCTTTCACGTATGGGCTAAAGTTTGTGAGAAATACTTTAGCACAATAGTTCATTCAATTTGTTCGCGGGTTTCGTTGATCAAAGAGTTGATAATAAGGATCGGTCTCGGTGTGGATACGCATAGAGTCTTCGCACTATCGAAAAAATTGTGAAACTAGATTCTCTTCACTAGGTACGTCTTAGATCCGATCTTTGACATGTAAATAAATTTAAAATACGAAAAGATCTATCTAGGATTGTTATTGTCTTCCTATGCGTGTTACGAACACCTATACGCAATACTGCAGTGGTATCAGAGCCGTGATTTATTGTGTTTAAAATTTATTTACGAAATATTTTAATATTATATTTGAAGAGTTCAAAACCATAATACATGTGTCTTGTGCAATAGTCAAATCGTTTGAATGTTGATATTATTTTATTATGAATAAAATATGTATTCATATGACTATTGAGATAGTTCATAACTTGAATTTGAAATTTTGTATTAGATACGACGAGAATCTATAATAGGTTACATGATTCTATTGTTAATTTTAATTGTTATTAGTTCATGAGATGTTAATTAATAATGATATTCTGGCATGAATTACTTTTTGTGATATATGTTTTATATAGATTAAACATATTAGAAGAATGTTGAATTTTATTTTTATGTCACGTGCTTGTTCATTACATAATTTTGAATTATTTATTACATGTGATGTAAATCAATTTAGAACTAAGCATGTAGACAACTTGAACTAAATTCACATGCTATAAAGATTTGATCTTCATGTTATTAAAAGTTGTTTTAGTAATAATTCCTTCTTACTAAAATTTGGGTTCTTAAATAATAAAATATAAGATATTTATTATAGAGCTATCCATCAAAGTAAATAATTTTACTTATTTCTTGTTTATAAGGAGCGGCCTGACTACCAGGAGACTTATAGTTCGAGAATATGTTAAAATTATTTATTGCATTAGATGTATGGATTGAAAGAATTATTCAATTTTACACTAGACACCTGGACCACCCGGGGAGTATAAAATTTAATAAGTTTTTTGCTTTCCTAATGGTTGAACTCAACTATGCCAATATGATCGACCAGACTATCAGGGGACTATTTGACATAGAGTTATTTAAGAAAATTGTATGAGGATACAATTGGTAAGAGTACCTACCTTTAAAATATATGTGAGAAACGACTTGACTTCCAAGGGGCTCATACATATTGTTAAAGTATTCCTTTACTCCACTAACATAAATAAAGATTTCGTAAACTATAATTAGGGTAAATAGTTTAAAATAATTAGTGGAAATATCATTTAGATAAAAGTCCATGTCTTTATGATATGTGTAAATATGTTCTTATATTATTATCTTTTCTTTTCTAATTTTAGATTTCTCAATATGTCTGCTATATCATTGCGTGGAATACTTGAGACCAACAAGTTGGTAGGACCAAACTTTGATGATTAGTACAGAAATTTGAGAATTGTTCTCATGCATGAAAAACTTATTGATGTGATCGATAAGCCTGCCAAGGAAGTCCCAGATGAGGATGAGGATGATGCTACCAAGATTTATCAGAAATACTTGGAAGAATGTCTTACTACCAAATGCATCATATCTCGCTTCTATGAGTTCTGAATTACAGAGGAAACATCAGGATATGGATCTAACTGCAATCATTGAACATCTTAAGAAGATGTTTGGTACACAAAGCAGGACATCTAGATACCAGCTATCTAAGGATTTATTTGGATCCAAATTAATTGGAAACTCTCCAGTTGGACTCTATGTCAATCATATGACTGATCTTATTGAAGAACTGGAGAAGTTGGGGTGCAAACTGGATAAAGAGCTTTCTCAAGATTTGATCTTGCAGTCACTATCTGAATCCTTTTCACAATTTGTTATTAATTTCAATATGAATAAAATGGATTGTGATCTTCATGAGATGCTTAACATGTTGATTGATTATGAGAATCAACTTGCATCTGAGAAGAAGAAAGGAATTGTCATGTTGGATGGAAACTCTTCTAAGAAGAAGGGTAAGGGTAAAAGTAAACCCAAGAAAAGACCTACTGCGCCCAAGGGTGGTGTGAGCAAACCCAAAGGCAAAGAAGGCAAAGCTGAGCAATCCGATGTTGTGTGTTTCCATTGTAAAAAAATAGGACATTAGAAGAGAAACTGCAAGGAGTATCTTGCAACTTTAAAGGACAAGAAACAAGGTAAGACTTTAATGAAAAATGTTTTCACGATTTCTTTAACTACTACTAATTTTTCATTGTGGATATTAGATACTGGCAGTGGTTATAACATCTACAATATGTTGTAGGGGTTCCAGATAAGTAGAAGATTGAAGAAAGGAGAAGTTAATCTACAAGTTGGAAATGATGCAAAAGTTGCGGCCATAGCTATAGGATCAATTTCTTTAATAATGCCTACGGGCAAAATACTTATGTTGGATGATTGTTATTACGTTCCTAAATTTGTTTCGAACATAATTTCAGCTTCTATGTTAGACAAACATGATTTTTTCATTATTATAGGCTATGGTATTTGCTCTATTAATTATGGTGATAATTTATATGTGAATGACTATCTCCAATATGATGTTTATGTCTTGCCTAATGTGAATGCTAATTCGATTATGCATGTTTCAAGTCTTAAGAGGAAAAGAGATGATCATGTAAATCATACATACCTTTGGCATTATAGGCTTGGTCATATTAGAGAGAAAAGAATTAACAAGTTGTACAGGGAAGGGTACCTTGACAAGTATGATTTTGAATCATATCCAACTTGTGAATCTTGTCTCAAAGGAAAAATGACCAAATCTTCATTTACTGGAAGTGGAGAAAGAGCTTCTGAATTATTGGGACTAATTCATACAGATGTTTGTAGGCCCATGAAAATTCAAGCTAGAGGTGAATATTCTTACTTCATAAACTTCGCTGATGATATGTCAAGATATGAATTTGTGTATCTTATAAAACACATGTCTGAATCTTTTGAAATGTTCAAAAGGTTCCGTAGTGAAGTTAAGAAGCAGACGGGTAAAAGTATCAAAGTACTAAGGTCTGATAGAGGTGAAAAATATCTTAGTGAAGATTTTACCAGATATCTCAAAGAGAATGGGATTCTCTCATAGTGGACACCTCCAGGAATACCACAATACAATGGTGTGTCTGAAAGGAGAAATCGAACCTTATTAGATATGGTGAGATCTATGATGGAGTTCACTGATCTTCCAATAAATTTATGGAGATATACTTACTTAATAAAGTTCCCACTAAGTCAGTCTCTACAACACCATATAAGATATGGAAAGGATGTAAGCCTAACCTTAAACATATTAAAGTTTTGGGGTTGTCCGGCTTATGTTAAGAGACTATAGTTTGATAAACTTGACTCAAGATCTGATAAGTATCAGTTCATTGGGTATCCCAAGGAAATAATGAGATATTATTTCTATCACCCTTCTAACCATAAAGT